CAGCAATCTGCAGGGTGGCCGTCAGGCCATGTACTTCAGCCCTGTCAGTGCCTGCCCTGGGCAGTGGGCAGGCCTGGGCCGGCCGGTGAGTGCCTCGAGGAAGCAGAGCCTGGGGCTCAGTCAGCTTTCTGGCCACAGGCACCAGCGCATCTTCACTGTGGGTATGAAGGCCTCCTGACCTCGGGCACCCTGGCTTCCTGGCCCCCCAGCAGTTTGGGAACCAGGTAGTGGGTGGGTGGCTGCCAAGATCAAGAAGACCTAAAGGTCTTCATGTGGACAGGTCTCCTGCTGCCCACGTGGGACACTGAACTGTGTGGGGGAGGATGACCACCCAGACCCACAGACCTGTGCCCAGTTACCTTGTGAACAGTATTCCACCTTGCCTGTCAGTGTGTGGTACTGTGGTGGCCTGTGTGCCCCCAGGTTCCACACTTCCCCATGTTAGCAGATTTCTGTGCAGCTTCCAGATTCAGACAGACTAGGAAGGCCGGCCGGCCTGGAAATCAGCCACTGAAAGCCCTGTGTGTCCTGACGGAACGTCGTGTGCCTCTGTGGCTTTGGACATGTCTCGGGAGGGAATCCATCACTAGGAAAGGATGTCATATTTGATGGAGTAGAAAGCCAGCACAGAGAGGGAGTCCCCCAGTGGTCAGGACTGTCACAGCGTCCCCACAAGGGACTCAGAGGTGCAGGCCACAGCAAGAATCCCCGGACTGGGCAACATACAGTCCATGAGGCATGGTGTCCAGCCGTGAGTTGGAGTCGAGTCACCAACAAATTGTGTAACTTAAATTAGGGGCCAGCACTCTTCCTGCAAAGGGCTGACAGTGGACATGCCAGGCAGTCCCCATCTCAGCTTGCAGCTCTGTCACTGCAGTGCCAATAAAACTTTATTTACAAGCACAGGCTTGATTTGGACCTGGGACTGTAGCTGCCAGACCCTGGCGTAGGTGAGTCTCTTGATGAATAGCGATACCTCGAGTAAGTAGAAACAGTTTGTTCTCAAAACTGAAAGACCCAGGCTTGATGTTTTGATGGATTTCCTTGTTTCTTTCTGAAGATGTCTCATAAATGGGTCCTGACTCTGTCCACAAGTGTGCGTTTCGTGTTTCTCCAGATTAACAGACTGTCAGGGCATTGGTGGTGTTAGATGGTGTTAGGTTGAGTGGATTCCGGCTCACGGTGACCCTCGGAGCCCTGCCCGGTCCTGCACCTTCCTCACCGTCTCGGATACACTCGAGCTCATGATCAGCCACTGTGCCGTCCGTCTCGTTGGGGGCCCTCTCTTCCTCCTTTCCCAGCCTGGTGGCCTTTCCCAAGTACCAGCCCCTCGTAACAACACACTCAGAGCACGTGAGGCGAAGTGTCACCATCCTAGCCTCCAAGGGGCACCCTGGTTGCACTCCCTTCCAGACAGACTTGTCTGTCCTTTTGACAGTCGTGGGACAGTCAGTACTCCTCCAATACCACGATTCAGAGGCAGCAGTTCTTCTGTCGTCTTTGTTCGTTGTCTCACTTTCAAATGCATAGAAAGTGATTGGAAATATAGTGACTTGGATCAGGTGCACCTAAGTCTTTAAACTGACATCATTGCTCTCCAGCACTTTGGAGCACTCACTTTGTTACTCCAAGACAAGCCTGTTTTAGCAGAAAGGCACTGTGGCCCCAGCAGAAGTATGCTTTGTGGACTAAGTGTGGATGATGGACAGCGTGGATGGTGGGCAGCATGGCAGGGGTTTCTCAGCCTGTGACCGAAGGTCTCAATTCCTTGGCCACAGGGCTGGGTTTGGGGCATGGGGCAGGCAGCCTGTCTGCCGCGTCCGAGGCTCAGCTGGGCTGCCTGGCATTGCCAGCATCTCCCTCTGATGTTGATGTTTGCTCCTCCAAGCAGACCTTGCAGGGATGGGGATCTCTGAGCACACACCTTTATCTCCCAGGACTTGGGGGACAGGGGAAGCGCTGAGCAGCCCCAGCTCTGTCCGGAGCCTGTGGAGAGCAGTCTCTGGGGCAGCATGCTGGGCCCTCTCCAGGTCCACTGGGCAGGGTGGCAGCCCCTCTGCCGGGAGCCCCTCAGAGAGGCCGGCCCCTCCCTCCACACAGGTCCATTGGGCAGGGTGGGAGCCCCTCTGCCGGGAGCCCCTCAGAGAGGCCGGCCACTCCTGGGACTGAGGGGGAGAAAGGATTCCTGTCCTGGGCCTCAGGCAGACCTGCCACTGCCGGGCCCTCTGGGGACTGAGGGGAGAAAGCATGCTTGTTCTGGGCCACAGGCTGACCCATCACTATTGGCTGTCAGCCCACCCCCCGCCGCCGAGGACATGAAAGAGGGGTCGTGGTTAGGCTGAGTGCTGGCAAGCCCACTGCCACTCTCGCCTCCCCCTCGTGTCTCTGGCCCTGTCCCCACATGTCCCCAGATGCCATACTTGCTGATACAGTTCCTAGCCCCTGCCTTTGTCTGGGGTGGGTTGGTGCTGTCATCCCCCACCTGCCTGGCTCTGTCCTCATTACCCAGCCGCTCAGAGCTGTCGGAGCGTTTGGCACTGTGGTGGCAGCATGGTACACAGGGCCCTGGGGCATGCTCAGCCTGCAGGGGGGCCACTCAGACCGCCTTCTCCTCGATTTGGGCCTGATTTCTCCATCAGAACTAATGGCAGCCAGGCTCCCTCGGAGGCCGCATCCCGTCTGTCACGAGGCTGTGGAGGATGCTTAGCTGAGGAGCAGGCATCGAGCTGGGCGGGACCGTTAACGGGGGCCGCGGGGCCCTGCGGGACATGCCCCAGTTGGGGTGGTCTGTTTCCTTACGGGCTGCACTGTCCCCTCTCCGAGCCTCCCTCTCACCCAGCATGTCGCGTAGTCAGTCCCAAGTGACCAGGAGACACTTGCATGTGGTCTCCGCACACCTCCCTGGTAGATGAGTGCTGCACTGGCAGAGGGCATGCCCGGAACTCCGGCCAGTGGTCCCTGCAGTGGGCTTAGCATGTTGGCCAGAGAAGCAGGTTTCGAGGACGTCGTCTCTGCCCAGGTCCCACAGCTTTCTCTTCTGTACTGGGGCAGCTGAGACAAGATGCCAGGTTCATGGTATGGCCTAGAGGGGGTCTCAGTGAGATGAGGCCTTTATCTTCTTCCCTCAGGACCCCCACCCTAGGCCCAGCTCAGCTGTAAAGTCATGTGATGGGACAGACTTGTCTCCGAGTGTTCTTGGCTGTAATGTCAAGGAGAGCAGACCACCAGGCTTTTCTTCCACAGCACAGCTGGGTGGGTCTGAATTCCAGCCTTCAGGGTTGAAGTCCAGGGCAAATTGCCTTCTGAGGGGTCTCCCTGGGAGCCCAGCCTCCAGATCCAGGCTTTCCCCAGTGAAAGGCCCCTGTGAGCCCCCCAGAACGTGGGAGACATGGTTAGAGGCTTCCTAGTCTCTGCCATCCTCGATGGGGCCTGAGGACCTGGTGCTGTGGCCCTGGGCAGATGGCACCCGAAGCAGGACTACACAGAAGCCGGGGGTGGGTGGTGGGTGGAGGGGGAGTGGGTGCAGGTCCGGTGGCCCGCAGGCACACACAGGTGCCCTGCTAATAACTCAGGGAACAGCAGATGCAGAGTCACTCGACACCCATCCCTTCGGTGTCCACAGTGGCCACTCAGGGAGGCCCACCCGGCCAAGAATGAGGCCCAGCCACCATCTGTGTCTCTGCCCATCAGAAGCCAAATGCTGTCCCCAGCTTGTTCTCCTGCACTGTTTTTCATTAAATGGATTGAGTTTGCTGGGAATCGCTTGGCCATAAATATTCCCTGCCACTTGGCATGGCAGAGTTATTACTGTCCCAGAGCCTGGCCAACCAGCAGACAGAAGGCACCAGGTGGCACCACCAGGGGCAGCTGTTGGCCTTCCGGTGGTCATGGTGGTGGGTGGGAGAGGGTGTGGAGAGCCCGCTGATGTCCTGCAGGGTCTCCACACCCTGAGGACTCAGATTTGACGTTAGTGTGTCCAGGCCACACTGAGGGACGAGCAGTCACAGCCACCTCACTCTCCTGTCACTTCCCCATGGCTTCTTCCTTTATCCCCACCTACCTGCATGGGAAGGGGGGTTAGAGGCGTTGGGGAAGTGGGAGGGGCCAGGTCCTGTCTGTAGGGAGTGGGGGCTGCTGCCCTTGCCTGTGTCCCTGCTGGCATGTGGACCAGCTGGTTGCTGGCACCCCCTTCCAGTGTGCCCTCCTCACATCTGAACTCAGCAGAGCGCCCATGCCGGGCAGGTGCCTCGCAGGCTGGGACCGGGGCTTGTTTGTTTTCTGTGTCTCTGCGGACTTGCCGTGTCTTCCTCGCCCTCTATTAGAGAGCAGTTCACTGGCCTTGTGGGCTCAGGCCCTTGTCTGCGTGACGGCAGCGAGGCTCGTCAGCCGTGTCCTCTGTGCACCCAGTCCTGACTGCAGCCCCTTCAGCACCGGGCTGGGCGGTTGCACAGCCAGCTGCTATCTTGTTGACACCAGTGTACAGCCCCCACGTGACCCACAACAGAGCTGAGTACAGAAAAGCTGTGTGCCATGACCCCCAGGCCTTCCTTCCGAGGCTCGACTGGGTAGATCTTCAACTTGAAGATTGTAAATCGAGTGGATTTATTGTTGCAACACCCAGATGGGAAGTTGTACAGCAGCCCTGGAGTTCCAGGAGGTGCAAATGGTTGGTTAAGTGCTGGGCTGCTGACTGAAAGGTTGGGGGTTCATATTCACCCAAAGGTGCCTCAGAAGAAAGGCATGGCAATACACTTCTGCATAACTAGCCTTTGAAATCCTGTGAGCCCAGTTCTGTCTGACGCCCGCATCACCATGAATCCAGCTTGACTTGCTGGCAGCGGCCACGTCCTGTGTCTAGAAAGAAAAGGCAGCGGCCGGTGGAGGACAGAGTGGCTGGACCGTGGGGGTGGGGCTTGCAGGAAGGCCCGCTTGGGAGAGGGTCCGGCAAGGACCTCAGGAGGCAGAGTTGTGAGGCCTGATGTTGGCTGGTGTCCCTGCAGTGCACGTGCCGGAAGGACATGGTGAAGATCTCCATGGACGTCTTCGTGCGCATCCTGCAGCCCGAGCGCTACGAGCAGTGGAAGCAGGGCAAGGACCTGACGGTGCTGGACCACACGCGGCCCACCGCCCTCAGCAGCCCCGCGCTCAGCAACTGGAGCGCCTCCTGCGCCTCCCTCAAGGCCAAGCTCCTGCGCAGGTGTGTGCCCCCTCCTTCTCCGTGTGCACCCCGTCCCCTGTGTGCCCCCCTCCTCCCTGCGCGCCCCTCCTCTGTGCACGCCCCCTCCTCCTTGTGTGTGCCCCCTCCTTCCCCGTCCGTGCCCCCTTTGCCTTGTGTGCCCCCTCCTTCCCAGTGTGTGCCTCCTCTTTCCCTGTGTGTGGCCCCTCTCCCATGCGTGTCCCTTGTCCACCTCCTTCCCTGTGTGTGGCCCCTCTCCCGTGCATGCTTCCTCCCTACGCATGCCCCCCTCCTTGTGTATACCCCCAACCCCTTGTGTGCCTCTCCTTCCTAATGTCTGGCTCCACCGCCTGTATGGTTCCTCCCTCGTGTGGCTCCTCCCTCCACGTGTGGCTCCTCCCTCCACGTGTGGCTCCTCCCTCCATGTGTGGCCCCTCCCTCCACGTGTGGCTCCTCCCCATACGTGCCCCTCCTCCCTCATGTGTGGCCCTCCTCCCTCCACGTGTGGCCCTCCTCCCTCCACGTGTGGCTCCTCCCTCCACGTGTGGC